TTTATTTACTAGTACTAGTTTTCGTAAATTACTAAAACTATACTAATTTATTATAAGAAAAGTTAAGTTAAATGTACTTTATTTTATTAGTTCATATATATATATATATATATATATATATATATATATGGTACACAAAGTCATAACACATCAACCAAATCCATGAAATATACATATTTCATTAAGAAGGTTCTTCAATGTAAAATTAAATATAAATTAAAAATTGTTCTTCAAATGTTTTTAAGTAACAAATCAGAAATGTTTGTTGTTTTTAGTGGTAAAAATGTTGGTGTAAAACATGTCAAGCCCAAAGAATACTCTTTCTACATGAAGAATATAATGTTTGTAACTCTCTTTTTACCCAATTATAAACTTGTGCTTAACTCTGTAAGAAATGTTTTCTTTTGCATAAATATAATAGTCTGTTATGACAAATTTTTGCAACATGATAGTCATTTAACAGATCTCAAGTACATATTTTTCACAAATCAGTTAAAGGATAATTGGAATTTATAATGTATTTATCTCTGACAAGACAGAATCAATGTTATAAAATAATGTTAATATGAAGTAAGATCACCGTGAATGACAAGGGCAGTCTGACAATATGCTTAAAATCTAAGTTTTAATAAGGTCCTGGGATATTGTTAATCAGTTATCTGAAGAGGGTATTTCTTGGGCATTTTTAGAGTTTGGAAGCACTTGATGGCAGTGCACCTTCTTAGAGTATACCACATGTACCTGTTGGACATTTGGCATGTGAGCCACTCCATTTGATCATTAGTCTCTTCAAGGAATGTGTTAATCAAATTAACATGGTGAAAGCAGGCATTATTATTCATTAAGCTGGAATGATGGTCACTTGCATAGAAATAGTCATAGCATGTGTATTTATAATATGTTGCGTTAACAATACTGTCATAGAGAATGTAGTGCTCTTTACTTATAACAGTATTTACTTAATCCTGTCCAAACTATGCTTCAACTATGGGTATACATGTCATGTTCATGTAAAAGTGGACCTTTCTGTTTCCAATTTCTCTTGGAATGAGTCAAAATCTGATGAAGGGTGAAGTGCATCTCTTCTGTAAAAATTATATAGATATATATATGTCATTATCACCATTGCAGGTGAGTTTCCTTATATCTTGTTGTGAGTGGATTGCACTTTATTAGGTGTCTGGCATACAGCCTAGTTTTGTAAAGTCAATTTTTTATCAACTGTAAATGGACACAACATTTAGTTGTGGTTCTGAATAGTTGATTCAGTGTTGGACTTAGATATCTTAAGTTTAAATAAGCAAGAGTTGAAAGATGGTGGTGGTGATCTGCTTGTGTTTGGATGGTAATTTGCTTAGGTCAGTTGTTTGAGCAACTTTACTATTGGTTTGGAGTGTGCCAATGATGCTTTGAAACACTTGTTTCTAATACTCAACAACCTGTTGTGATGGCTCAGTTTATATTTGTCAGATATTTACAAAAATGAAAAAAGTATTAAAGCAAGTTTAAAATCAATTAACATTACACCATGTTAGAAAGCTTTGCTTTCCTTTTCATTTTTTACTGCTTATTCTGAGTTGTGTAACTGTTAGAAAGCCAAAAAATTTAACATGTAAAAGATTCTTCTGAGGTAAAAGTACTGTTTAATTGCTCCTTTTTACAGTCAGTCATCATCAATGATCTATGGTGTTTTATGTATATCACTTCCATCTTTTCTAATCTGTTAGACCAGAATCGGTAATCTAAGAGCAGATTAAGTAACAGCTGTTAACTGTATACAGATATGTAATATTTGCAGAAGTTTCTTAGTCATCAAGTACATTTACATTTATTATATAACTGCATTGCCTTTAATATAGTAATGTTTGTAAACTTATACGAGATAGAAGTACAGTTTACTTTGCAATGATCACTGTCAGCACTGAATGTGGTAGATGTGGTATGGTTGACATATCAGAACATATTCTGCCTTGCTTTCACTCATAAGATCTTAAAATTATAACTAATACATTTGGTAAAGTGTTAAATATATTGGTTGTAGACCACATATGATAATTTACTGCATAACAGTATTACTCAACAAGTTAATTATTTGATAAATGTTTCACACAGTTGCAAAATCGAGAACCATGGTGTGTTTTGTCTCTGTCGTTGTCCTCAACAGATGTAACAGATCCAAAAAAATCATAGATACTAGCTGTGTGTAAGATAATATGTGATTGTGTAAGTATCACTTCAGACATGTCATTATGTTTTGATGTTCTTGTTCATTTAGTTCTGCTTGATGACTTACAATATCTACACATTTAATATTATATATAATTCTGTCATTTTCATGCATTATGATATTCTTTTAGTGTTTGGGCTTACAGCATCTACTGACTGATTCAAGGTATAAAACCAACAGAAATCGTGTAGCAAATCGACAAGCTCTCCTTTATGAACTGTCGTCTAGGTAAGTTGATTCTGTCTTAAAGATCTTTTCTTGTAAAATAAGAATATTGTGTTTAACAACTGAAAGAAACAGAAAACTACTCTTTTTTGAATAAACTATATTCTGTCAGAGAACTTGAACAAGGGTACTGGTTTTGGCACATTAACATGCCCTCTTCAGTTCAACTTTCTTCCTGTCCCTCCTTTGTGTCTTTGCTTGCAGATCCTGTCTGGTATGCCAAGTTATTATTGGATCTGTAATTATTAAACATATAGGATGAATTTAAATTTTATGTATTTATAATATGAATTATGGGTTGATAAAACTATGTATATGTAGATTAATATTTTTCTAACAAATCACTAATTTTAAAAAAATCGTATTTTAAATTTAGTGCTCAAAACATTTTAAATTACATAAACTTGAAACTAGCATTAAAGACATGCTATACAAAATTAATTATTCACTGTCAATGTTTTATGCTTCTAAGTAGCTTCCCTCCCCTGTAGTGCAGACTTGTACTTGTGGTTTTAACTATTATGATTTTAATAATAATTAAAATAAAAATAATAATAATTATAATTATTATATACTAACAGAAAAAAGAAACTGTACAGGACTTAAAATGGAATAAAATTCACATACATCAGGTTTAGTGTTATGAGATATAAAAAATCAATACAGGATATGTCGTTGAACATATCTGGTAATACTCGGTTCGATTCCATGGGATTTTTCATGGTTTGTGAACACCTTTTCGTTTATTCAAATTTCATACCCACGATTTTTCTTTGACAATGTTTTTTGAATAAACAGGTGTAGAATGTTTATTCAGGCTCCAGTTATTCAGGAAATCATTTTTGTTTCACTGATAATTACTCTTCTGTGATGAAAAGGCTCAGTGATGATGAACATCTTCACGCAGTCGGAATGCTGCAGGCTGGCGTGACACAGAACATTGTTGCAAGACATTCCGGAGTCCATCGAAACACCATCCACTCTTTATGGCAATGGCTCCAACAAGCAGGAAATGTCTGAGATCGATCACGTCGACAAGACAGCCATATTTGATTGGTTCACCTTAGAAATCGTTTCCAGACTGCAATTTTGACTACTCGCATCATTCCTGGTCTTCAACTGATTAGTCCCAGAACAGTGCATAACCGTCTGCACCAAATCAGCCAATAACGTTGGTGGATCTGGGCACAACATTAAACAACATCTGGAATAACATTCCACAGGCATTTTTGAACAATTTAGTGTCATCAATGAGGTGCCATTGTCAAGCATGTGTGGATGCAAATGGTGGACACACACGATATTAGCCCTGTAAGTTTCCTTTTGAATACCAGCGTCTTCTAAATGTCCTAAAAATTATGTATGGTGACGTTAACAATAATTAACTACGAAATTTTGTAACCAATGCATTTGTTAACAATACTGCAAAATTAAAATTATATTTGTTCGATTTTTCTTGATTTTTTTTCTCATATTTTAAGTGATGCATGGTTTCTTTTTTCCGCTAGTATATCTTCAGTGGTCATATTCTTCATTTACAATATTTTGTAAGTTTTTACTGCAAGTTACAATGCATAGGATACTGATACATACTAGTAATACCTAACAAAAACATTGTATCCAACATGTAATTTATAACATCCATGCTTTGCATGTATTTATTGAAGGTTTGTACACCACATTGTTACATTAAAGCTTACTTTTAAGCTTCAATGCTAAGAATCTTATTATTGTGCATCATCATTATACAAGAATAATTTATCTCTTACTGAACCAGGGAGCACCTTTCAGGTGTTGAGTATACACTTACATCAAATTTCAAGATTTAAGTAAAAGTAATAATTCCTCTATTTCAAAAATCCTAACTCAGAAAAATTTTAGAATTGTTATTTTGTCATTTTGTAATTTGCAAGGAAAAAATGTTGAAACATACATTTCTGTGCATGGATCTCATCTGTAAACATATTTTTTTCTGCCCATCCCAAAGCATATGTTTATATTTGATAAGAAACTATTGTATCTTGGGAATATAACTATCCATGGGTTTGTTCTCATGTGATTCTCCTTTTCTTTCACTGATTTTATTAGTACATCCTTTCAATCCCACTCTTTTTATGCTTTTGTAGCATGTGGGCTCAACAACTATTTATGAAACTCGGTTTGAAAATGGAAAAGTTTCAATATCATCAGATAGAGTAGATTATAAAAGTGATTATTTCAATGTAGAGTCACTAAATTTGTATGGGAAGTAACTTATGGTTTTGTTTGAAAGAGATTAAACATAGCTCCTCCAGAGAAGAACAAGGGAATCAAGTGAGAAGTTAATAAAACTTAGGCTAATCACAGATCTGAGAACTGTGTATAGTTTCTTTAGATATTCTTCTCATTACTGAAAATGTTTTTAAATTGCTATTTTGAAAGCTACACAAATTTTATTCTCTTATAAGACATCAGATAAGCTTCTATAATGAGGTTTAGAGAGTACTGTAGGTGATGGCAAAATATTTCAATGACTCAAATTCTTATTTATTGAATATTATTAAGCTCATTGTATTCAAGTAATGCACATAAATGAAGGAACTTGTACTGTATTGAAAAATAAACTATTTATTAGATATAAGTTCATCTTGACCAGTAATATCGTTAGGATAAAATAGTTCTACCAAGTCTGACCTGAGGTCTAGATCAAGTCCAAGATCACTGATAAATCTTTATTAGTTTCTGCAGTGTTTTTGATTATTTATAATTGGAGGTAGTGACTATACTGCAATTGGCAAAATAAAGTATCAAAAGAAACTTGTTAATGAATATAAATCGATTTGAAACTGACAGAATATATATAAAATAAATTCTAAGATGACATAAAGTATTTTTAATGTTGTTTTTGAAACAATGTCTCACCACAAACTTTTGGAAATTTCCTGATGTTAAAAAAATAACAGTGAAACTAAATCCTATTATATGAAATTTTTGACCCAAATTAGATATTGTTATGAAGTTTGTTCTAAATTTCATATTTGGTTAAGTATTTTTAATATGAGAAGGAAACAATCAAGAGATATCCAGTCTGGAAAGGGCTAATACATCAGGATATGTGTTTAGTATCTAGAAAATCAAATTTAGTATAGAGAAACCTTAATACTTTCAGAAAAAACTTATTCAATTGTGTTTATTTTCTTTTTTATTATTTTAATTTGATAATGTTATAATATGGTGAAATGTACTGCGCAGGTTTCTTCAACACTCCACTGATCACTGGATGGAAGCATTTAATGGTTCTGGCATTCCATATGGACCAATCAACAACATTGAGCAAGTTTTTAATGATCCACAGGTAAATTGCTATTATACAAAAATACCTTTCTATTCATCAGCTGTTAAATATTTTTAATATCTTACATACTTTATAACCCACTATTCAAGTAAGTACGTGTCCATTGATGGAAAGTTTTCTTTGTTGTCACTGCTCCACTGATCAGTTACTGAAAGTATGTGGTAACTTATATTTGGACTGAACAAGTTAATAACATTAAACAAAGCTGTTTAAACGTGTTAGGAAGATGAGGATACTCAGTAAAATAATATCTATAAAATTCAAAATGTAAACACATTAACTTTCATAGAAGTGAAAAATATAGGCACAACCTCATTATATTTAGAAAGTACAAATGCATGTAAATGGACTTATCTTAACTTGTATTCAAAGTTTGCAAAGGAAAAAAACCTCAAAACATTCCAAGCGCATTTTTTGTAGAAATTATCACTTTAATTTTTATCAAATACTTTGGATTATAGAGATCCCGAAAAGTTTAATTTTTGAGTTATATTTTTTACACAAAACATATTTTAAACTTGATAGTTTCATTGTAGGACAATATTTCATGCTTTAAACCAGTCACATGTTTTAGTTAACATTCAAACCTTTTTGTAATTGTCAAATTAGGTCAATGAATTGTTACATTGAAGTTCTTCCTCACTGGTCATGAAATTTGTATAAATTAGTATTCCTTTTAATAAACTTAGGTCCAACACAATGGAATGGTTGTAGAAATGGAGCAAAGAAATGCTGGTTCTATCAAAGTAATAGGTCAGTATGACTTTCTGTGGATAAGGCAATAATTACAGCCAAACACTGCTAAAAGTGAGGGTGCTCAAATATCAAGTAATACAATTATTCAGTAAAATATTTATATCCTGTTTTTTTCGTATGTCTTAAATTTTATCTTGATGATATAACTATTCTTTATTTCCACCTTACTTAATAGTTTCTTAAACTGAAACGTGGGAATTACTAACTTAAATCTAAATTTATATATCCTTTTTCTATCACTTTGGTATATAAGATGTGTTTATTGCATTAATATTCTAAGAATTGTAAGGTACTTTTCTTGCATTCAGAAAAGATATTCATGATAGTGATTGCAGACAGGAAGCACAGAATTATTGGTCCAGTTAATAAAAAAATCATGGAGAAGAATTCAATAAAAAATTATATTTAAACAGTAATTGAAATAAGCTCTAGACAAAATAGAAATTAACTATAAAACATAAATAAAAAATTGCATTTACTCATCCAAAGAATTAACTGGTAAAGTTGAATATGGTTGCCAAATATGAATGATTATGTATTATGATGGTAGATAAAGAGCAACATTTTTTATAAGTAATATGTAAAACAGTGGTGTAGTTGAGGGTATACGCAGGTAAATGGCAATTACATATTTCTGATTTAGGTGATATAGCATTTACTTCATAGAAGGGACAACCTGTGTTCCTACCATGCCACCATCTGGCCCGGAGAATCAAACAGAAGTTTACCCACTTTTTAATTTGTCACTACACCACTGATGTAAAATAAAATAGCGTTAAATTTTTAAATAAGAAATTAAAAATTGCAGTATTTTTTCTTTCATAGCTTACATTTTCAGTTTTAAGTTATAACAAAAAACAATTGACTGAATTAATTTGTTAGTATTTCGAATCATTCCTCTATATTTTGGTAAGTACATTTTGGTCTTATCAAATAAACTTGCTTAAAGTAAAAATATTATATATATATAGTTTTGTATGGCTTCTTTAGATTTTACCAATTAAAACCATTAATCTCTATCCATTCCTTTCAGGTCCAGCAGTAAAATATTCCAGTAGTGTTAACCAACCTCGGTTTCCACCTCCAAGTCTTGGAGAGCACACAGATAGTATTTTAACAAGTCTCCTAGGTTTAACAGAAATAGATCTTCAAGTCCTCCGTGAAGAAAAAGTTATTTCTTAGTGTTGAATTTTATAAAGAATTTAACATTATCACAGTTCTTTTGCTGTTCAAAAATTGAGGTCACAAATTAATTTTGAAATATTAAAAGATGGTTTAAATGACACGTATAAATATTATTTTATATACATAATAGAAGGGCTTGAACTATATTTTTCTTCTGTTTTGTAATATTAGAATATTTTAACCTCACCTAAAAATGTTTTTGTTTATTTAAATAAAGAAAATTATTGTATTAACAATCTACTAAATATAAAATTGTTTACATTTACATGTATGAGTTTCTAATAAGAAAGGTCCACTGCCTGTTCTAATACATTAAACTAGTTCTTTTAAATACAGATTATAAGAAAACTTCAGTTAAAAAAAAAGTCTGAATGATAAAATAACAAGTAGATTAAAAACATCAAAGTGACAAGTACATGTAAGTAAACTCCTCATAAGTTCTACCATAAATAATAACCTTTTTAACTCTTACATGCATGTCTGCAGACTTACAATGCCATATACTGGGTTTTAATACCATTGGTGGGCAGAGCACAGATAGCTTATTGTGTAGCGGTGTGCTTAGTTACAAACAAACCCTAGACATCACATCTAAACAAATAAATGTGACTTGCGTAACTCTTTCTATTAGCTAGGATTGTCGATAAAATGTGCATATTAACTATTGCCTCACATTTTGCTTTAATACTAATATGTGGCCACAAGAAAGCGATATGGCCAGGTGGTTAGAGTGCTCGACATCAGCTCATATCATAAACAAAACTAACTTGGTTGATCTCTAGTTCCACACTGAATAATTCTCACGTTACTTTCTTAGATCATTAACATCAGACCTACTCAAAATAAATAGCATTACCTATGTGACAGGTGATTCTGAACAAAACTTGAAAGAGATTACCTGACTTCCAAAGAAAAGATTACTGTGTAACTTCACATACCGCGATTGACCTTGCAGCTATCTTCCCCATGACACAGATCAAAGATCAATAGTTAGTTAGAGCAAAAGGAACTTAACAACTTCTTGGCCAACATGTTATGTGTAAATTGTATGTACCTACACAAATAACAAACTTGGAAAAATTCTATATCAATAAAAAGAGGTAGAATACATGGTATTTTTATGTACCACAGTATTACCTATGAAATGCCAAACAATGTCAAAGTAAAGTTCTCATACATACCATTCCATTGTGAACTGACCCCCAGTGGCACAGCAGTATGTCTGTGTACTTACAACACTAGAAATGGGTTTCGATATTCGTGGTGGGCAGAGCACAAATAGCCCATTGTGTAGCTTTGTGCTTAATTACAAACGAACCATTGTGAACTATATTGGCTGTAGTTGTCACATGACTTGCTTACCTAGAAAAGTTGACCAATTTTTACATTAAAAAGAAAAGAAATAAGTATATTTATTTATAAATTTTCATGTCATTAGGGAAGTTATAAGTCACAAAGTCACATCACAAATGTAGTGTTTTATTCATGCAACCAGCATTAAAGAAAGCTTTGAAGTTTTATATCTGCTAGAAGAGGGTATTTTACATTTCTTACAAGCTACATCGACATAGGCAGGTTATTATTAACTTTAATGCATTTTACCATGAAGAATGATTGCTTTTTTTTTACAGCTTATATTACAAAAGGAAACATCACTTTTAAAGTTTCACAAGTCAAATAATTTGAACAGAGCTTATAGCTTTTCGCAAATTATATAGATAATGACACTCATAACTTATATAAGCTACATACTTAACAAAGTATAATTCTTAACTATCATGAACTATGCAGTAAACTTTTCAGGACATCTTTTGTTTGTTTTTTTTAATTTTACATTTTTTAAAACATATATTCTTAAACTTTATACACACTTTCAAAATTTTGTTTAAAATTCCACTGCTTGAAACATATTCTTAGCTCTTACATACTTTTAGAATGTACATACACAAACACCTTTTTAGAATATACAAGTTATCACAAATGGGAGACTCGGAAGGCTTGCTTAGTACAGTTATTATTAAGTTTGGCTGGATAAGGAATGAATGAGACTGACACATATGTTTCATAATAAAACAACATTTTTATTAAATGTGTGAAATGTTGGTTGAACAAACATGTTGATATTTCCACAAAAATTAACAAATATACTTGTCTACCTCCAGTGGCTCAACAGTAAGTCTGAAGGATTATAATGCTTAAAATCGAGTTTCAATACCCAAATAGCCTATTTTTTAGTTTTGCACTTGACAATAAACAAACTCTCACCTAAGTCGGCTTCTATAACTGGCAATTCACTACACACAACTTCACAGAATTGGAAATACCAAGGTAAAACCTGGTTTACAAAAGAACTGGCTTCAGTTTCATGACCCTGAGAGACTAACTATTACAAGACTGACATTTAACACCAAATTGCCTTTGTATCAAGGTTAGTATTATTAGAAGAAACTAACGACAGTAAATGGCTAACTTACATGTATCTTACATCAACTGTCCACACTAATGTGTACTTTGAAAACGTCCTTATCGTTGTCTTGTTGACTTCTCTATGCTCTATGGCATGATGTTTAGGACACTAGACTTGCAGTCTGCAGATAACAGGCAACCATTGTGTAAACTGTGAACACATAGTCTGATGTAGCTCACTTTCATAAGGTAAAAGAATGCAATTCCTATAGTTTTTGCCTTTATACCCATTTTCTTCTCTTTCCATAGTTACTGTACATGAATAAACATATCTGTATTACCACATACCAGTGTTAAATATCCAGTTAGTATATATATATATGTGTGTGCTGTAGTGAAAAACTTTCTTCTAAACATATATTACTGACACAGCCATACAAGTTGTTAGGATGACCTTTGAACTACAAATTATAACTATTATGTTTCTTATATAGTGTGAAGATGAAAAGGATGTATCAGTTTTTATATTTTGACCTATAAAGTGGAGTTAAGATATTCAGCGGAGCAGGTCACTTGAGATCTTGTAGATAACAGCAGCTGGGACAGCCTAAGAGAAGGCTGAAAGGTTGTGGCAATATTTATTTCCTGAGCTTCCGAGTGACAATATGAGTGATTATGCAGAACAGGTCATTTAGGATCTATGACGTTCTCACAGTTAAGATGGTTGATGCATATAGATATCTTACCTCGAACATTTATATCTTTGAATGGATGGTAATAATCAGTAGGACATTTAATGCACATAAAAGCAGAAAATATTTGTAAATTTTGCTTTCCGAGCATTCACGTGAAATTATGTAGTGAACAATGACAATCTTTTATAGAAAATACATTCTATGAATACTCATGTAAAAGTGTAGACAACTATAAATAAGATCTATACATGAGTCCATGCCTATGAGTGTGAAGGGCTTGTACAAATCCTTCAGGTGTTCAGAGGAGAATTGCTCTTGAACACCACAAAGTATTATCAATTTTAGTGGAAAGTCTTTATTTCATTGAATTGTAATTGCAGTTATTGTGATACCAATGAAGTTGAATTCCTAAATCACAGGTAGAGGAAAACAATGTAGCTACAAATGTTAGCAACTGGTCATGACAGTGAATGTTGTTAAACAATATTTAAGATACATGTGTCACTAACTAGTATGTGTTATGCTCCACACACACACGCAATATTATCTAGAATAGGTGAACTGTCCAGTACTGACTTTCTTCCTCTGACTCAGCATGAACAACCAAGAAAGTACTTGCAGCATCTTCCTGATCATTAATTGCATTGAGATAACTAGTTGCAGTAAGTTCGTCATTTTACAACTCATCAATTGTTTACTCCTCTAACCCAAGGTACAGTCAGCACTGCACTCATCAGTGATAAAGTACTTGCAGCATCTTCCTGATCATTAATTGCATTGAGATAACTAGTTGCAGTAAGTTTGTCATTTTACAACTCATCAATTGTTTACTCCTCTAACCCAAGGTACAGTCAGCACTGCACTCATCAGTGATATATAGTTCCTCTTTATCATTGTGTTTAATGTGATCGGCGAACTGATCTGTTAATGAATGAAATAAGGTTCAATGCATCAAACTGAGTTGTAAGTTGCTACTGTGTTCTTCACTGTCTTATCATGATCTCTCTCTCTCTCTTCTACTTATGAAGATCTCTCTTCTACTTATGTACATCAACAAAAGCAGATCTTAACAATTCCCCCATTTCTATAGACACTGCAATACATGTACACTTGTAAGTAAGCTATACATCATATCCACCAGGTGCTGTACTTCATGTCCAAATATTAGCAGGTTTGAAAAACAACCAGAATGCTATTATTTGATACTCAATAAGAATGTATGGTAGGTAATAATTTCAATCAGGACTGACTCACAAACTTTAAACCACCTTCTTAACAGTTTGAACAGTCCATTCAACAATACTATCAGACTTAAAATGATATGGTGAAGTGTGTATCTATACCACACCTAATAATTAAAACGTCTTGGTAGACAGCAGACTTTGAAGTTGTATCTTTGAGCCTTATGTATTTCTCCAAGACTCCAAAATGTTCTGTACACTGTTCAATTAACTTATGAGTGGCAATCTGAACTGAAGTGTCAGCCTAAGCTTTGGTCTACTTGATAAAGTAATCAATAACAACTGGCACATACCGATTACCATTATCAGTTTTTAAGAAAGACCAATTAACCCAGGGCTTTTCTCTGCAATGAAGAGTCTATGACCCTTTACCTCAAATTTTTCCTGGTGTATTCTTAGTCCATCTAAAATGTAAATTATCTTTTGTAAACACCAACAATGATGTTGTTATCTCAGGGAAGTGTACCACAAAATGTCATAGTAAGATGTAAAGCCAAACAAACTGTAATCTTTTTTTTTTTATCTTAGGGTGAGAGAATTTTTACCTGCTGGAGTAGATACTCCAGCAGGTATCTCAGCCTACTACATGACTAAGAACTTCCACGTGTGTATGCATAAGAACACTATTTTCCAGTTTCAAACTTACTTTATTTATCCTCTGAAACATCACTTAAATGTTTTTTAGCAGAAACCTAAAACATATTGCCCAATACTGGTTGAGACATTTCCATTTCCTGTGCTAAAAGTAGCCATTGGTCTGCCTTCATTGTCCAGTTTCAAACTTGCTTTATTTATCCACTGAAACAGTATTC